AATGAAAGAAAATCATACCTAAGCACTTAATCAACGTAAAATGAAAGAAAAAAAGCAAGAAAAGTTGAAGAGGATGGCTGCGAAAATGGAAGAAAGAGAATAGCGACGCACAACACAAACAGAAAAGCTTTTGTTTGAAAATGCATTTGTTCGCAAAATTTAACCCTAAACAGATGTTATTACCTCGGCTATTTTTTTAACCAAGGCAATAAGGGTCTATGACCTCGGTTCTATAAAGAACCGATGCCTAAACCTTCTAAAAAAATAAATAAAAAAATCAGTTACTTTATGCCTCGGTTCTCTAAACAACTGAGGTCGTAGACTTTTGCAATAATTACAAAAATGTCACTGCGCCAGTTTTAGGAATCGGTTCTATTTGAATCGAGGCATATACCTTTGTCAAAAATTACAAAAATGCCACCGCGCCAGTTTTAGGCATCAGTTTTTTTTAACCGAGGCATATACCTTTGCAAAAAATAACAAAAATGCCACCGTGTCATTTTTTGCTTCGGTTCCAACTAAACCGATGTCAAATGCGCGAGTTAAAATCCTTTTTATTACTAGTGATACGTGTATTTTGACAGGTTCCACACATTATATCGCGAAAAGTGACCATTATAATTAACCATCATATTAAAAATGTCGTTATATATGTTTTTTCTTTCAGTGAGTGAAAAAGAAATCATGTTTCATATATGTTACATAAGATACATGATCACTTCAAGGAGACATTGATTTATCGAAGAGCGAATTGAAAGAATTGAACTAGAAGTTTCAAGTGAAGTTGTTTAATGGAGATAGACTAATAATAAGGGGTAGAGCATCCAAGAATGAAAACACTAGTACAAAAAGACCGTATAACGTCGATCGGCCTTTCATGTCGAATTCGAGGTCGACGTCATATTGGGTGACGTTAACTTGACGTCGAACATAGAACAATTTGATGTTCATAGTCAAGCAAATTAACGTCCAATTTTGTCAATATTCGACGTTAATCAATTTGTTTTGTTTTTTGTTTTTAATTAATTGTGATCCTTTTTTACAACTCTACGAGACCTGAAAAACAGAAAAACAACAAATTTCAGTTTTTGCTATTTTATAAAGCATGAACTATGAACGTGTAGTGTAGTATCAACAACAAACAACAATAACAAACAACAAAGAAGTTCAATCAAACAACAACAACAAACAGGTTCAACCAAACAACAACAACAAACAAGTTCAACAAAAAAAAACAACAAACAAGTTCAACAAATAAGTTCTTCAAAACGAAAACGAAAACTAACCTTCAAAAGGTGGGTTCGTCGAAATAAAGTGTTGCCACCAGTGAGAGAGAAAGCAGAATGCGCCTATGAAGGACAAAAAAACGAAAATAATAAGTCAAAACAAAAGAAAATCATACCTAAAGTAGTTAATTAACATGCATTTGTAACAAATGAAAAAAAGATTACATGTGATAGTCGTCAAACTTCGTTCCAGAAAAGTTTGAGCAGAGAAGAGGATATCACACGTTAAGATAAAGTGAATGAATTTTTATTCTCCCGCTCAAATTTTTATTGAATTCACTAACCTTTTAACGTCTAACACTGGGGCATTGGATGTTTTATATCATTTTGACGTCTAATTATAGGGAATTCGACGTTATACGTAAATACAATTTCACCTTCGCGCCAAGCATTTCGAAAAATTTACCCAATATAACAAATTGATGTCGAATTACAATTCTAAACGATATCTAATAATTGCATTTATTTACATAAATGTCACCGGTCATTTTTAACGTTGGTTATTCAGTGGTTGGACGTTGAATGTGTGACGTTATACATTATTTTTGCACTAGTGAAAGATAAGTAAAAGTTTTAAGTCTGTAAAGAGGAATCATGGAGGTGATATTTCCAACATTAGGTGCTACCAGAAATTTCTATTATTATTAGTAGAAAAAGGTCAAGCACTTTGGTAAGTCATTTAGGTATGGCAGTGTACGCTAGTGAAGCAATTTTGTTGGAAAACAAATTAGTAAGGGTCCAAATGATGCGTAATAGTTCTGATGAGGCAGAGTGGATTGTGGATTACGAATGTTCATATTACATTACACTTAACCATTTATGATTCCATAAGTTTATTGAACTTGAAAGGGGTTCAATTATCCTTGGTGATTAGAAGTTATGTTAGACAACCTACATTAGAACTACAATGCTCAAGTTACATTATGGAACTGAAATGAAATAGAAAAGTTGTTCCATGAAGTTAGGTATGTACCTAACTTGAAGAGAAATATGACACACTTGGAAGTTTTAGAAAGGATATGGTTCAAAGGTGAAAGAGGGATTTGAAAGTGAGGAGATGTTATGAAGGGTGTAAGAAAAAATGGTTTGCATACCTTGAAAGATGTTATAATATCTAACTCAATATCAACTATTAAACAATTTCTTTTGTTTAAGATGGACTTATGACATAAAAGTTTAGGTTATGTATGTGAAAAATGTTTGATGAAGTTTCATAAACAACACTTGTATTGATAATTTGAAATTTTGTGAACATTATCTATAGAAAAACTTGTAGGATTAGATTTGTTAGGCAACAAAGAAATGAGGAGATTTTTTACTTTATTCATTTTGATCCATGGAGATCTTCTACTACTACCACATACTTTGGTGTTATGTACTTTTTATCAATGGATGATAGTTTAAGGAATCTGAGTTTACTCTAGGAAGACTAAAAAGGAAGAATTTGAGAACTTTAAAAACTAAAAATGTTTGGTAGAAAACAATATGGGTAAGATAGTGCAAAAATTCAAAACAAATAATAATCTTCAATTGGGTTTATAGTTTTTCAACAACTTCTATATGTGAAACGACTTAGCAAGGCATCAAACAATACTTAAGGCTTTTCTATATAACAATTTAAAAAAAAAATGTTTTACAAAACCATTATAGAAAGGATGAAATGTATGTTAATGTTGAAGTTTTAAAAGTGTTTTGGATTGAAACTATTGTTATTAGTTCCCATTTCATCAACAAGTGTCTCTCAATTTCTTTGAATATGAAAGTGCTTGAGGAAAGTCTGTGAGATCATTCCCTAAACATTGAGAATCTACAAATTTTTAGTTGTGTTTATAGTTAAATTAGGTAAGAAAAACTACAATCACAGTAAATGCATGTTTATAATATCCAAAGGAATGAAAATAAACAAGTTATGTAGGATTTGAGAAGTACATAATTAATTAGGACATCATCTTTAATAACATAACTTAGTTATAAGTTTTACTTTAATGTATGTAAACTTATTCCATCATGTCATTGTCTTTAATAAAACTAAAAAAAAAACTTAGTTGTGAGTGTTATCATTATATTTGTTAAATTCATCTTATGTTCTTCTTGAGAAAGGATGATTCCATCATACTATCATACTAATTATTTTTTCAACCTTCCAATCTAGTTATGTATTTATCTTCTAGTTAAAAATGACAATTTGACTCATATTCCATGAAACAACTCTAATTTACTTCAAAGACAAATCTCTTTTCTATTGGTTCAACTAATAAATGGGTTGAGAAAGTCACCACCAAATTCTTCACATAAAAGTCAGGGTTAGGATTAAAGTGAGTTTGGTTTATTATAATACCTCAATTAACTCTTAATTACATTTTAGAAATACATGTCTCCTTACATTTTATGTAATTTTTTTAATCAAAAACTTATGGTAGACATCATTATATATCTTGACATCTTAGCTATGTTGACATCACAAGAAATATTTATTATTTATCATCACATGAAAAATATTATTAAAAGTAATAAAAAAATAGAAAAAAAAATTCTAGAAAATCACACCAATATCTAATGATAAAAATAAGAGATAAGCCTCATACGAGCTAAAGTACCCATTGACATAGGAAACTGGTATCGATTATGGAATACTAGGAAGCAAATCAAAATATGAAAAGATTCCCTCTTAATCAATCATAAACTGGCTAATATCTGCACAATAATTACTTTCTCGAAAAATATGAGAGACTTTAAACTCTATATATCTTTACACAACTTCAAACATTTCCTCCACTGACTTCTAATCATCCAAGGATCAATCAATTGGGAAGTAAAAGTTTTACAAACTAAAATTAAGTCAACTCTAACTAAAGATGTTTAAAACCTGCAAATTAAACATATTCTACCATAGATAGTTTCTATAAGCCCAACATAAAGGGAATTGTGGAGAAAGCTAAGAAAGTTCCAATATACTCTCATTTTTAAATTCAAGTAATGACAAATAAAATTATTAGTGAGAGAAACATTGATAATAAAATAATGCATTAAAATTTTAGCGAGGAATTTAATTTGAATTATATTTGAAAAATAATTTTTTTAAACTAAATTTATATTTTAAAGATTTACTTTAAATATTTTTATTTAAAATTTAAAAAAAATAAAATATAAAAATATTTGAGACTCCATGAATATTCATAAATATAAAAAATCTCTGTTTTTTTTTTCACGAGTACTAATTAGATAACAAATAATGGAACGAATTTCTTTTTAGACGGACTTGAACCTAACCCATTGCATTACTAACTCCAACTCAAGCAATATGCGTAGTGCAATAAAAGTGTCGTAAGAAATTTTTTGCCAGCAATTGAAGCTTTATTATGAAACATTACATAATTGATTGCACAGCAATGGAAGAGCTGGAATGTTGTGGATTTTTGTGTGGCATGATATTTACGTAAATCTAGAAAAACCCAATTAAATCTAAAAGAGGGAAAAAGACAAAATTTCTGATTGAAAGTTTATTTTATTAATGAATATATGAAGCTATGAAAAGTCTCTATATACATTGCTTCTGAAGAAAGCCCTAATGATGTGGTTTGTTATGGACGATAGTAATATTGAGAAGTCAATGGCGTATTGGCCATGCAATTATGGGTCATTGCATGCATGTTTCCATTTACAAACAAAGCTTACATCATCATGTGTATATATATATATACATGGATTTGTATAACTTTGCAAACAACATAATAAGCATATTTTCCAATGTTGTAATATTCAAAGCTTGGGTTATGTTATATGGGTTCTCAATTCTTCATTTTCCTTCTCCTTCTTGCTGTCCAAGGAAAAATGGACAGAGAAACAAGCTTCGATCAAAACTATGAGGTTATTTGGGGTGATGATCATGTTGTCTTCTTAAACCAAGGGAAAGAAATTCAGCTCACAATGGATAACTCTTCAGGTTAATAACATGTCCTTTTTGTTTCTTTATGTGCCTTGCATCTACTTTTTTTTTTCAATTATCTTTTACTTTATTAGTGTTCTTCCCTTGGATAATTTTTTTTTATGTAATATGATAAATAAAACACTTTCTTTCAGTTTATATATATATAATTGTTGAATTTGTGAAATAGACATTAATCAATAAGGACAAAACATTCTGTACGTATTGAACTTCAAGCAGTATTATGTGAAACTTTTATGCTATTAAAAACTATATATTTTTTAAAATAAAATATGTTTTTAAGTCTAAATTTACATGTAAAATTAAAATTCCTTAGTATATTAAATTCTGTTATATTTTATTTTCAAATTTTAAAATGGATAAATATAATTATTTTATTTTCTTTTATGTTAAAAAAAATTATTTAAATTTAAATTGAAAAATATCAACTGAATAAACAGTTCAAACACTAACCTAATACATAAAAAAAACCTTGAAATAATTTAATTAAAAAAGTTATATATTCAATTTCAAAGTTTAAAATTGTAAAAATTTAGATTATATGAATTTTAATTTCACATCAAAATTTAAAATCTAAAACATATTAAATTTTTTTTAAATTTTTAAAGAGGTGAAATATCTACAACAAACTTTATATTTAATATATTTATTATTGATGATGAAGAAGACGTTAAATTAAACTAAAAAAATCATGTGGGAAAATTTGATGCAAAGTAGACATTGATTATTAAATCATGTTCGAGAGTATTATAATTAAAATGTGTAAAGTCGGTGATTCTTGTTTTTAGGTTGAGCTATTCGAACTGTATTACAAAATCAAATAAAAGCTGATAAAAACAAAAAAAAAACAAAAAACAAAATCAATAAAAGTTCATTCACTTACAGTGAAAGATTATCCCAAATTCTCTTAAAATAAAAAGAGAAAACATTACCCCCTTAGTAAATAAGAAAATAAACATATAAAGTAAATTATTTGATGTTAATTCTGTTTTATTATACAGGATCTGGATTTGGATCAAAGATGGCATATGGATCTGGATTGTTTAATATGAGGATCAAAGTACCAAACAGAAATTCTGCTGGAGTTGTCACAGCTTATTACGTTAATTCTTTTAACTTTGATCCTACTTAATTAAGAGATAATCTCATACATGCACATATTTTAATTCCATTACAACAAACTTTCATATTACCACTTTCAAAGGTCAAACTCATTCAAATAGGAATCTTCTATAAAAACGCTTTCTACAATAGAAAACTGTTTCAGACAAAAATTAAAATTTATAGAAATTTACTTACATCAAAATTTTATTTTTAATACATAAGTGAATCTTAAAATTCTTTTAAATTTTTAAGAAGGAAGTTATATAGAAACTCATTTTAATTTTAGAAGGAAGTTTTTTTCTTATTTTCTGTATAATTTAATTTTAGTTTACAGAAAAGGCTTTTTCTTTTTTCCTTTTCCTGCTGAAAGTTTTTAAGAGGAAAGTTATCTAGACAAGGCATCAGTATCAACATCGGCCCACATGAATGTCTGTGTATAAAACTATTAATTTGTAAATAAATTAAAAAATACTACATTCTTCTAAAAAAATTGTAATATATTTACATGAGAAACTGACTGAATTTAATCAATATACTTATTTTTGACTCTTATATTTCATTAATAAGTTGTTTAAAAATCACTTTTCTGATAAATAAAAAAATTAACTTTTGGTAAACAACGACCCTCTGCAGAAAGTAGAATCAGAAACTCAACAATTAAGATAAAATTTGCATTCATTTTACCTACAATAGTTTGATATCTTCTCTAGTCATTCTGCATAACTAAAAGTTTCTATTGTGAATTCTATGACATTTAGCAATGGTGATATCCGTTTGAAATGTAAATTATATAGAATTATGTTGCAAAGTTCTTAATGTGTTTGATTTATTGCAGTTAAGTTCAGAAGGAAGTAAGCATGATGAGTTGGATTTTGAATTCTTGGGCAACAGAGAAGGGAAGCCTTATAGATTACAAACCAATGTATTTGTAGATGGCCAAGGGAATAGAGAGCAAAGAATTCGTCTTTGGTTTGACCCTACTGCAGATTTTCACAATTATAGAATTCTTTGGAACCAACATCAAATTGTGTAAGATTACAAACTAATAAAAATAGGACTATCTTTTCAGAAGATTGAAGTTGATGAATTTGAGAAGCTCTTACAAGCACTTTTTTATATGCATGTATCTGAAATGAATTGGCAGATTTTACGTGGATAACGTGCCCATTAGGGTATTCAAGAACAAGACTAATATTGGGGTGGGATACCCATCAAAGGCAATGCAGATACAAGCAACTTTGTGGGATGCAGAAAGCTGGGCAACAAATGGAGGCAAAACCAAAACTGATTGGCTTTATGCACCATTCAAAGCAAATTTCCAAGGTTTTGATGTCAGTGGCTGTCAAGTTTTAACCTCAAATGCCAAAAATTGTTCTTCTGATAACTTCTGGTGGAATAGGCAGAAGTTTTGGCACTTGGATCCTGTAAGACTAAGTCAATATGAACGTATCAAACATAAGTATACCACCTATGATTATTGTACTGATAGGAAACGATACCCTCAGATTCCCTTGGAGTGCCTCTAATTAACTCATGTATATGCTTCAAAAGATTGAATCATCTACTGCTATTGGAATTGAAATGGTATATCTTTTGAGTGAATTTCTTTTTTGACTTGTCTATTTTCATAATTTTTGGGTGAATTTGTCTAATATTAGTAAAAAAAAACATGTATACAACATTGTTTTAAGCATATGAATTACTTTACTCTATGAATGATCTCTTAAACCAGGTGAATCTGGCTGGCATAAGCATCTCAACAATGGTCCAAAACCTTAAGCAATCACTGAGAGGAGTAACAAGCAGTTCATCTTTAGATATATTATGGGATTAACAACAGTACTATAACTCAGAATTGTGAAACAAGATCTAGATTTGTAGCATTATCCTACTAAAGTGTTTCATTTGATCCTCAGGTAAATCAAGGCATATGTTAATGCCTCCTTGATCTTGTGGCCCTGGCAATAGCATGACCAAACCAGGCTTAACTTGTAGTGGAGTAGCACACTTGAGTCTACCCCATGCAAAAAGCTGTTCCTCTAACCCCAATCTCCACCATGCCACCAAGGAGAAACTATCTTCCATACAAGGTGCTCCTTTGTTCACTTCTAACCAATCTATTCCTGACTTAATGTACTCATTATTCAACCTTTCAAGCCCTTCTTGCACCTTCCTTATGTGACATGAATCTTCTAGCTCCTTCAGCTCCCTCACAGTTGCTCTTGCAAAACCAGGGACCAATGCATTCCCTGCAAACCCATCTGGGAGTTCAGGAACAACCCTTTTCCTCACATCCACTGGAAACAGCATTGTGGACACTTTTTCCTCCGACATCCTTGTTGCAATGCTTCTTGCCTTCCATATTTTGGCAGCAACAACCTGAAAAGTGGTTGTGTTCTTTAAGGTTTTGTCCTCCTCCAGGGCTTTCTTTTTGAAGCTAGCAATGCTTTGTGGCGACAAATGAAGCACTCGAATCTGGTTTTCTGGCAGGGACTGCATGACATTGGTACCACTTTTGCCTCGGAGAGTAAACAAGTTGTGTGTCACAGTAGATTTTGAGTACTCAAAATGTGGATGGCTTACAATTGGAGGATTTCTTGCTCTCAGCAGTGTTCTATCTGCATTAGGTACTGTGATGAGATCCTCACCACGTGTTAATGCCCCTAAGTTTACCTCAAAATCTCTTATTGCAAAACCGTCCAAAGTGCAGTGATTGTAGTGAGAAGCAAGTGCCAAACTTCCACAACCAAACTGAGTCAGCTGTCATAAACAACAAATAATCTACTTGACTTACATTTGCATTTATTTAGATTTTATGTCTGAATTAGCTTATTCATCAGATTAACAATTCTGGCATAAATGCTTGTGCAGTTATATGGTAGAATTTATGAAAAAAAATACAGTTTGTAGTATGTTCATAAGTTATTTGTAACTTATTTCAATAAATTGTCTGTGGAAACAGAACTTATTATATCAGAACAGTTTAACTACATTCCTTCTTCAATTAAAGTGAGAATTTATACTCAAGTATTATCACTATAAGTTGTTTATACAAACTGATCCTTTTTACCTTTGTGTTTAAGAATCAAGATGGAAAAATGAATTTAATGGAATGGAAATACAAGAAACTCATAATTGGATGATTTTATTCCACACTAATCTCATAGTTTTGGTCCCTGTAAGATGTTAATATTTTGAATCTTTATCAACTAAATGATCCCTTAAAATGAACCTTCACTTTGGAGACTAAAATGCAAGGAAATCAAGAGTAAAAGCAGATAAAAAAACTTAAACAAAGAATGAATGTAAGGATGACAGAAGTAAAAGGAGCCTTAACCTGTAAGGATGCAAGGGGTTTTTCTTTCAGATCAGTTTCTTGGTCACACCCTTCATGTAAAAAAACAACTAATTCCCTCAACTGTGGATTAGGTGTAGAAATCACCCCAAATTCACTCAATTTTCTGTCAGTTCTTGCAGCTGCAACCACAATGCCAGCACCATTGCAGTCAATTTCAAATCTGTGAGTCTCTTCCAAACTTGGCACTAGTCTGCCAGCCATAAAATCATACTGCACAAGCATTTTACCAAGTGCACTGTATAATTTGTTACAAATCTCACTGAAACTCATTTGGGTAGTTGGAGGGTCAAAAAAGGAGGCAGAATCTTGGTAAACAACAAGGGACAGATCAATATTTGACAAGAACATTCTCTTGCGTGGTGTAGGTTGCTCAGGAACAACTACAATTTTCTCTACCAGTTCAATATTACCCATTCTACAAAATATCACTGATCAACTACCTTGTATATTCAACACCAACCAAGATTTTTAGTCACTAATACACAGTTTTTTGTTCATTGGTTAGTAAATTGGAATTTGGCAAAATATATATAGGATGATTTTGACAATGCCAGGAAAATTCAGTTTTCTAATATTAATTACTTTTAACATACACAGATTCTTCTGTGTTGTTAACGTAAATGGAGTTATGTATAATACTTCTCTATACACAGATGTGTTTTGATTATTTGTTAATACATTTATTGTGTATGTACTGCACATACATTTATCTATCAGCGTGTGATAAGATGTAACTATTGAAAGTAAATTATATACTTTGGTTACATTTTTAACTACAGCGTTACTTTTTCCATTTGCGATATTTGAAACCATAAATGCTAGTTTCCTATGAAACTTTCCTTTTCCATCTCTCACTAAGTCAAACCACCATTTATTCCTACCATTGCTTGCATTTGTTTAATATGAATAAGTAATGCTTCAACAATATTAAAAACGTTAGTGATGTTATCATTAAACTGCAATTTTTATATTAATTAAATTCAAATATAATTAATTTGAATAATTTCATAGTTTATTTTATTATAAAATAATATTAAATGGGATCACTTATTTATAAATACTATTCAAATATCAAATTATATGAATATATATATATATATATATATATATATATATAATATTTTGAATTTGTAAACATTGAGATGTTTCTTTATACTTAAGTAAATTTGTTTTAAGCCATTAAAATTAATTTTAATCTAATTATTTTAAACTATTAGATATAACTAAAATATGTATATAAGTTAAAATATGTATTTTACTAATAAATTTGAATTTAAGTCAAAACAAAATAAGAATTTCATGTTTCTTTCTTTTTTTGGAAACGGATTATGTGAAAACATTAATTTTGTTTACGTTGTTACAATATCCTTTTCAATTTGTTGAAGAAATATAGTAAGTATGCGTTTCGTTATCTATACTCTATAACATTAATTGCTATAAATTATTATTGCTAATATTAAAATAAAAGTATATTATTTAAGAATTAGAACTAAATGAAAATTTTGGAAGAATTTATGAGATAAAACGTGAACTTTGTTTAGTAAAAATTCAACACGTGTCAGAAAACCCTTTTGCCAACGAACTAAACTAGATTTTTTCTTTTACATTTGCATACGACAACCTTAGTTCTAGATAGTAGTACAATGAATATTTTAATATCAACTCATGTTCGTGATTTTTTTTTTAAATTTGAATTTTATTTTTTTGTTTGAATTAGCAAGTATAATGTATTATTTCTAAAGAAGAAAATATATAGTTTATATTTAATCAATAAAACATTTTTCCAAAACAAAATAATAATAAAAATAACTATACATTTTGAATTTTTTTTAGTTGTGATTATAAATAGTTTTTACTGAAATTATAATGATTAGATTCACACATTTATTTGAATATTTAATTAATAATTCTTATATTTCTATATACCTAAGTATTACAAATCACTATTATTACATCACGAAATATATGTATTTTCATTTAATATTAAAAACATATAATTATTTTTTGCAACTTAAATTTATGTAAGTTATGCAGACTATACAGGCCTACACAGGATGCACAGGAAATTTGGCACTTGAGCTAGTTTATTTAGCATTGTCAGCATTGAAATTGATCCACAGTACGCATGAATTTGCAAACACTCAAATTGTATAGACATTCAAAATCATAAAGTGAATACATTAAAAAGGAAAAGCATGTTTGGTTTCAAAGTAAAAAAGGAAAACAGACAAACTTCATTTTACAAAGCATCCACCATCACCATCACCCATCAAACCAGGTCCCTCCAGCTAAACAAAAAAACTCTTATCAATTAATCTTCATGATTTCCTACTTTTAAATGTCAATAGCTTGTTTAGGCCACTTTCAGCAACGCATGGGAAGAAAGAAGATTGAAATGGCAATAGAAGCACCAAAAGGATTTCTAAAAAATTACAAGCAAGCTTGACCAGGTTCAAAGTATAAACATAATTATAAGCCTTTTAATGTGCAGTAAGTTATAACTAGGGTATACAAATACACGACCAAGATGTCAGCCTTTTGCCTCCAAGGCTAAAAGTATCTTCTTTCTTGGTCCCTGAAATCAACAAAGCATATCAGAATCGAATTAAGAAAAGCAGAAAATGTTAATAATGGCTACATCAAAACTAGAGAAGGGTTGACTTGAGATAAATAAGAATTTAGGAATTTGTGGGAGTGAGGAATCCACGCTCCTCGATGATACGTACCATTGGTATACCCATGGCCTTCAGATCCTCATCAGTCATATGATTGAGTGCAGTCATATCAACCTGAAGAAATAGCTTTCTGTCATAAATTTTGAACTTCAACTCTCTAATGTGCAATTAAAATTCAGCTATCGTATTGAATTCTAGTCTAAATGTAACTACATATTTAGATTGGCTTATTTTGAATAAATCATTTCCCTCTGCAACCTTCTGAAGAAAAATTCACAATTACTATTTCTCTAAAAACTAAGATGAAGGAACATGGATTTCGATAAAGGCGAGGTAACAGATATACGACATACTTCCTCAGCCTGAAAACTTATGAGATACTTTTCGAGACCCAGTGACAGCAAAAATTCATCCAGTGATGAGTCAGCCTGTCAAGCAAGAAGCAGGGTTATACTGAATTTAGTTTTTTCCACAAGTAAAGAAACACATTGCCTAGCACGGAAAATTCTGGGAAAAACAACGGCTCATTTCACATAATTATTTTGTACGTGTGAATAAAATGTGGGACAGTT